TATATATATAAACACGCGCATTATTACGTGTAGTACCGGTTTTCCTGCAATCGTCTGTAGGATAATAACGCGACTGTAATGGTATGCGGAGATACACGGTGTAATGTCATTGTCATATCGTTATAACACTTCAAGTTTAACGGAACATTTTTTATAGTTACAAATTAGACATAATCAAGTGCGAAAGAAATGCACAGGCCGGTAAAATTTGTATACTATTCGCCAGAGTAATTTGTCGCCCTGAAAAAACAAAACATTTTATTTTTGATTACTTTCAATATAATGACAAAAATTTTCTAGAAAATATTTTATATATTTTTTGGTGCAATATTTATGAAACTCTTAGATAAAGCAAGAATAAAAATATCTTACTAAAAAGTTGTTTTTTTTTTATTAAAGAATGTATTTATCAAAATATATTTGGTCAAAGATTGTATATCATAACATATTTTATTTCTCATTATAATATATACATATGTGTGTGCGAGCGTGCGTGCGTGCGTGCGTGCGTGTGTGTGTGTGCGCGCGCGCGTACATACATACATGCATGTGCGTATAATAATACAGTAAGAAAATATGCTACAATACGCACTTTTAAAACTCATACAGTTCAATGCGCAAAATATGTAATCTTTCTTTTCTAATAATTCACATGCGCGACATCATGTAACTCAATAATTGAATAATCCATCATTCAATCTTATTACTCTAACATTGTATTGCACTTGTTGCAATCTTACTATAATTATACTAATTCTCTATGATTTATCACTACGTTGTAAAGTAATCCGGATGCAAATTGTAAAAACTAAATGATAAAAAAGTTTATTGCGATGATAAAAAAATGATAAAAAAATTTATTGCGATGCTGAAAGCTATTATAGAGCATACACACTTTGACACGTTTATACACAAGAGTTGTACTTTCCGTTTCGCGCGATATTTCATTTCAGCTAATATTTAATTAATTTAATATTATTTGATAATGCAATCGAATAATCATTTTAATTTCTCTTTTTGACAGAAATATGTAGCGGAGCGTATTATGGAAAAGTGATCGGTAAGTTGTCTGAACTTCATCACGGTGTGAGTGGCGAGGTTTACGCGGTTGACGCAAGAACACTATTTATCAAGGACTTCACATACGATGGCGAAGGTCCAGGTTGGTACATCGTTATGGCAAATTCAAGTATCGACAAGAGGCACTGATTTTTTAAAACATGTCAAACGGCACTATTAACAATAAGAACATTTGCGTATCTCGATATACACAATTATTAACCAGCAGAAAAAAAAGCTAATTTGACTGTTATTATTATTGATTTTTAATTGCCAGATGAAATAGCGTTAATTATTATAATCGAAGTTAATTATCACGTTCCATAATTTTGATAAAAATTTAACATAACATATTTTTATTTATATTTTCATAAAATTATATGTTACGCATATACGATTACACATATTCGATCATTAATTTTATATCACATAAATACCGCATGATTTTCTCTGTTCGTTAATTTTTGAAAAGACACGGAAAAATTGCTGGAAAACTTTCCCTCGACTTGATATAGACTGACCGCGATCAATTTTTCTATACCGGAAAAACTTTCCCGAATCTCTCTGGCACGCGTACTCTCGATGCGCAAACAAGCTGGCTGACTGAGATGCCTGCTCTAGATTAATGAGAATATCTAGATGTTTATTAGAGCTTCACAATCTGAAACCGTGTAACGTTTCTTATCTATTCGCTCAAACCACCTCATTTGTCATCATTAACAACGGGAATTTTCCTTAAGAATCTTGTTGCAAAAAGTTTTTATTGATTATAAAAATAAAGAAAAATCATCATTCTCTTTCCAGCCGCCTTTTTTTACGCTGGAAACAGCAAGGGTCCAGGTAGCAACGGTTTCCGAGTGCGCGATGAACGCGGAACGTAAGTAAAACCGATATAAAATATATCCAGAAAGATATTGTTATCAAAATTAAATATGATTTGCGAATGTAATTAATTATCTCACATAGAGTAAGAATAGTCATAACTTTTGTTAATTTTAAAACGATCTCTTTTCCTCCGATTTTGCTCAATTCGTTAACTTTTCTGTTTATCCGACAGTACCAACGTCCTTAAACGGTACCGCAAGAAGGACATCACACTGACCTTGCCGGATGGCAAGACCTTGAACAATATCAAGTGGTTCTCGGTTTGGTGCGACGAATTCTCGGTAAGTAACGAATATGCATGTTCGTGACCTTGGCCTGCGCAATATCGGCTGTGTGTACTTGCTCGTTGCCGGGAACCGGTCATCATTTTCTCGAAGTACAACTTTCACACTCGTACAGGCTTATCACCGGCCGCTTGTATTCGCGTGTCAAGTGAAAATACAATCTGATGGAATCATCATCCTATCACTGTAGGCTCGCTATACGGCCAGGATTAGATTGAGATTTTAGATAGTCCGATAGTCTGATATTTCCAATAGTCAATAAAGTCTTCGTAAAAAAATATTCGGTATTTCAAATTTTTGTCATTTGCGAGTAGATTATATTTTATTTCCCTCGAGTAGTGTTGGTTGATTAATTGTAAAAAATTGGCTTGTCCTTTTATTTTTCATCTTTCCTATAAATGTTCAAAAATAAATCATAAGAATGACAAGTTTACAAATATACGTATAAAGAATGAATACGTTATTTTACCTATATATAATGAATATCTTAGTTACGTGATATAAACACAAGTTTTTTTTACAAAGAACCATTTTTCTGTTTAGGTGAATTTTGGTGATGTTAAAATACCGAGAGGTTTCGATTATCCGAAACCGCAAAAATTAAAATCATTGAGCGGTATACATGGCGTTAGTTCCGAACCGGTCGTCATTGTAGATGCTCAGACTCTGCTGATACCCAGCTTCAGTTACGACGGAGAAGCACCTGGCAAGTTTCTTTATCATTATTATTGGTCTTAAATTTCAACATTAATAATAAATAACTATTACAACATTTGCAAAACATTAAAATCTTATGCAATCGAGAAATATTCTTTTAAGAAGAAAATCGCGAATTCCGTTTTTAAGTGGCAGATAGTGTTTTGTATAGTTTATCAAGTCATCAACTATGATGATGGAAACGACTTATTCTTTTAAACTCTCAAAAATGTGTTATTATAAATAAATATACAGGTATGTCCCCCCCTAGCTCCAATACACTTTCGGCATCGAGTAATGACCGATCTAGTCGCTTTACGGATTTTCTCCTGATTCAACTTTAATCGATTAAAAGTCGTATTTATTTGTTGGATCAGATGTTCACGAGACTCGATTAGCGTTGAGTAAACATTATCTAACAATAAGTAACAAAAGCACTTTTTGTACGTTTGAAACTGGTTATATCAAAATCTATGGAACGTACAACAATCATTTTGATCTCATTTGAAAGATAATTTAATTTTCTACAACTTTTGTTTCGGTACTTTTTGTTAAAAGACGCACATTTTCCATGATATTTGGAAAAATGTGTAAAATAATCACGATTTCAGAGGTTTTTGAGCGATAACTTCTTAAGAAAGCATTTTTTGACCCATGTTTATAGGAAATTTTTTGTTCAGAATTAAATTTCCTGTAAGATCTCAAAGTTTGGCTGGAACGTTCGAGGCCACCCTGTATAAGAAGGAGTAATTAAGGGCTAATTAAGATCCTAGCACGGTAATCAATGCGCAATTTTTTCAGATTGGATGAGTTAATTTTATTTTCCGTATGTTTCGGTCCTCTAATTTTGGGTCATGCTCAGCAAGAAATTATAGATGAAATGTATATGTCTGTCTGTGACCTTTAGCAGTACTCCCGACAAGTAATCTTAGTGAGCCTATTCTTGGTAAAGAGCAAATTGTATTGGTTGTGCAAAAATTGGGCATTGTTTACTGCGCTAGGTTCTTAATTAGCCGTTGCTCCTTCTTATATATTATATTATCAGAGCCTTACTGTACTTAATAAATAAATATATTATTACAAATAGTGAATAAATTTATTTATATTGCGCATAACATCAATACATGACAAGCAAATGCAAAATTATTTTGCAGATGCTAAGTTTTGGGTAGGTGTTGGTTCGACACCGTCACCGCAGGGTTTCCGAATACCCGACGAAAATGGGAAAGAACAGCCGTTGCGTCGTTACGATCGTAAGACAATTGTTCTGACATTACCGGGCGATCTGACCGTTCATCAGTTCGGTCATTTTGGAGTATGGTGCGAGGCATTCGCTGTTGACTTTGGCCACGTGCAAATTCCACAAGGTTTAAACATACCGCCATCTCTGAAAATGCTAGGAGTTTCGCCACAGGTATGTCAGACATATTTTAATTTATTGAAAGTGCGTAATGGAGCGGTAAAGAAATCCATTAACACGTATTTCGTAGTGTGCATTGTAATATACTATGCGATTATCGATAATTTATCGAACTATTATTTCGCAATCGATTTTTCGAACTTGTCGGAAATGTCTCTTCTTCGAGTTCCTTTTTTCTTACATCCGACCACTTGATTTTGATTGTTTCGACTGCGAGAACATAATCTTCTTCTTCTTCAGAACCTTTGCTTCTAAAGAAATATTTTCTTCGGTTTATTCTGAATTTTAATGGTGGGCGATAAAATTCTTCAATCTCACAAAATAATAAATAAAATTAATTATGGCAGAAATTTGTGCCTTTGTTTTATCGTGAACGACAAATTCAGCTTCCTATGATTCATGGAAATAAATACCCTGTCTCTGTCCTTGTGTTGCAGAACGTGCATCGCGGAGGACAGGGACAGTTCGGGGCACTAACAAACGCATATGAGATCTCCTCTTTCGCTTCCTCGTCGCCCTCCCCTTTTGCTATCTCGTTCGCGGGCTCACTCTCGCAACAGCAGCAACGTCCGACGACCTATCGGCCGCTTCTCCGCCGAGACGATCAGATTCAAGTAGTTCGGGCCGTGGAGAACGCGCACGCACTCGAGCAACTTCGTTCCCAGGCGCAGTCCTCCTTGGCTGATGTCGCGAACTATCCAAACCATTATCATCGCGCGACCGACGAAACGTCGCCGTCGACTTCGTCTTCGGTTTTTCGCCAATCAGCGACGGCGCGTTCGCGTGCTCGTTTATCCGACCCGCAACAAAATTCGTATGCGAGACTCTTGCATTTCCAAGGAAATAGGAGAACCGACTCGTTCGTGCGTTATTGAAAGTGACCGTACGAATCGACCGAACGCGAATATCTCTCATGCCCGAGTGTATTTTCTACGTAAACGCAAAGATACCCTTCGCTTTTATCGCACCTAATCTATTAAGAGAATTTCATTTAGGAAATTTCCAATTTTCCAATATTTGTTCGAAAGCTTGTGTCTCATGTCATTTTGAAACGATGTGTTATTATTATCTGAAACATATAAAAATATATTTTGTTATAGATATACATATAATATACAATATACACACACGCGCGCGCGCGCGCGTTATTGTGTATATTGTGTGTGTGTGTGTGAAAAAGAAGTTTTTTAATTAGAAAAAAGATATAACCTGTTTTTTACATTTCTATCTTCTTTTAACCATAATGAAGACTGCAACAGTTTTTATATGCCGGCTTATATACAAAATTTTATAAGAGGAAAAATATGGAATTTCTTAAATATTCATTCTTGCTTTGATTAATCTTCTTTTTTATAAAATTTCACCTGCACTATCTGTGTGTGGGAGAAATCTTATAAATTATCTTTTTTATATACGTATGTATATACCTACCGTGAGTATCGTGATATCTAACATGTACACACATAATATATATGTATATATACATATGTACACATATCCGTTTACGCGCAAATGTGTATACTATATTTTTTATATTTTTGTACTCATTTTCTACATATGTATATTATAACGTATTATATACATTAAATAAATATATTTTTTACAATTGGAACTTTGTATATATTCCGCAATTTTAATGAGTAGTTACTCATCTTCCAACAATGCAGTCATTGTTTTCGATTATTGTGTGTGATTTCAGTCGAAACTTAACTGCGAAGTTCTTGACGACAGTTTAGCTTTTGAAGTGAGATGGGCCGTAGCCGGGGACAGTATAGTTGTCCAGCTTGTTGCAAAATTAGGTAAATATAAATTTTTATATTAAGAGTCGTCGCTGTGTGAATAAAAATATTCCTTTGAAAAATATATAAAGTTGAAAAAAATGTGAATTTGGTTAAGAGATAATTACAAAATTGAATTGAATGACATTGAATAGATGCCGGAGAATATATGGCGTTTGGATTATCCGCGGATACAGAGAAGAGTGTGATGATTGGCGGAGACGTCGCCGTAGCGTGGGTCGACAAACAGACCTTGCAAGGATATGCCGTCGATTACTTCCTAGACGCGAAATCTCAGTGCTCGGGACGCCGAGGCAGTTGTCCGGATAAGCGTATACTGGTACATGCAGTGTATATAATATAGCTTAAAGCTGCTTAAAAAGTTTTTCGTCTGCTTTCGTTGCGTGGTGAAATAACTGATCTTTTCATCTAAAGGAAAATACGGACTCGGTGCGATTATTGAATGCGGCAATGGTGAATGGCTACAGCATTGTTACATATCAGAGACCGTTGAGGGCCAGTGATGAATTGGACCGTCCGATATTGACGAATAAATCGCAGGCCGTAATCTGGGCCATCGGGCCATTGAACGAGCGACAGGAGGTCAGTTTTCATAGTCGCTATCTGAAGACCGATCGCTTTATGGAATTCAGCAGACCACCCGCGTGGAACTGTCCTATGCCTGATCAGGAACAAACCTCGGTCTACGGCGAAATAGGAAGTAATACTCAAGTTGTTGTAAGTTGTAATCGAAACGTAATTAGAGAATGTTGCATATTATATTTCCTTTGGAAAATGATGTTTTGAAATGGCAGGAGGTTGTCAGTACGAGAAGGCCGTCACGTTTACCGGCGACTCCTGCACCGGCATCCACGAAAGACGCTTGGGAGATACCACCCATTCAGTGTAACGAGCCGGATGATGGTGTCTTTTATGCGCAGATGGGGCCCACCGGAGGAAAACATGGCTATCCAGCCATTACCGGTAAAGGATTACAGCGACGAATGTCATAACATTAGAAAATTCCATGTTTTTTTATTATATGATATTTATTCATTTTGAATATATCTCTCTCAAATGTATACATGTTAGCCTTTCGCAAAATTGATCAAAATTCGCACAACTTATCCGATCCGTTAGGTGCTCCATGAGAAGATATTGCAAGAAAGCTATATCTATTTGTAGTCCAAACCAGTCTTTGCTTTACTTTCTCTCTAGGTCATGTCGGTTGGGGAATCTCTTGGTACATCAATGGATTGTTGATACCCGTGATTAATGTGGTTCGGGGCAGCAGATATACTTTCGTCGTGGAAGGTGGTTCTGATCCGGATATACCGGCGCGTTATCATCCATTCTATATTACGGACGACCCGATAGGCGGTTACCAGCACAAAACGGCTGAGGAGAAAGCGGTAAAAAGGATTCCTCTTGCATACAAAATTCTCTAAAAAAAGTTGTCATACGACTTCTTAATTTAATTTCTCTGTTAAGCAAAGAATCTGAAATTCCTTTTTTTTTAAACATTCTTAAGACGCAAAGATATTTGAAAGTGCACGTAAAAGAATTTTTTTAATTAGCACAGAGTTTGTGACGATACTTTTTCTCGTTTGGCTTTAATAGAAAGTAAAGATATTTGCCGGTGTACTCCGACAACGCGGCAAGATTATTCCCACTGGCACGGGTCGTCTCTGCAATTGGATGCCGGATCAGAATCAACCGCCCGCGGATGACTTCGCATCTTTCGGAGCTTATCAGCGCACTCTGACCCTTGAATGCGACCACGGTGAACCGGGTTTTGTGGAATGGACGCCTGACGAAAATACACCCGACACGGTGTATTATCAGGTAATTCAGCCCGATATAATTAGTGTCGATTTGTATAAATCTTTATTTATTTATTATCTGTTTAATTTGCACAAATAATATGAAGTACTTTTAAATTGATTTTTAACTATATGAAGTAATTTTCTTCCAGTGTTTCACGCATCGTTATCTAGGCTGGAAGATTAATGTTCTTGATAGCTGCGATCTCAATAACGAGCCATCGTCGGCGGCCAGTGAGAAGCATGAGATGTATCTGGAGCCAGCTAAAGGCCGTCAGAATCAGCCGACGAATCAGGATCTAGAATACGGCGCTAGCATAGCCGTAGCGAGCAAGGTAATGCCACCAGAAGAGTTTCTTCATCAACAGCATGTTCATCATCCTCACCGCGAATACGGTCATCGTTATCCCCATCATACGACGACTAACAGCAAGTTAAATGCCTCACATCACCACTCGCAGCTACTAACGAACGCCAATAACAATTACGATCGCTTGCAATCATCATCATCATCATCCTCCGAGAACTCGAACGAGGCACGTCTGAAGGACGCGTATCGTGTTGATGAGGAAGCTTTGCAGCAGCAGCAACAACGGCCGGTCACGACTACTCACGAGCAGTCGCCGTCCCTTCGTGTCGGTCATCTCACGGAGCCCGGACGGGAACAAATTCAGCAGCAGACTGCCACTAACCAGCAATTGTCTAACCTCGTTGCAGATAACCAACGACCAACTTCATTGAATCATGGGACAAAGTTGTCTTATGTAGGGCTGGCCAGCGGCAACCACGGCCAGTTACCATACTCCCGAGCACCGCATTATTACGCGACCAATTACCATCACGTTCGCCATCAGCTTTCTCCGCCTCCTCCTCGTTATCATCATCAACACGAACCTCCGAGGGCCCAACTGATGATCATACGCCGACCGGTAACACTAACGCGCCATCCGATGTTGCAGACTTTACAAGCCGCTAATATGATAACTTCGACAAACGCGTTATCATTGCCGTTCCCGTTGCCATTATCATTGCCGTCGTCGTTATCTTTGCCGTCGCCATCGCGACCGATTTTCATCGAGCGCAAAAAGTCCGTTTATCGACCGCCCGCTATCGCAGCGATGACGACGACGATGATGGCGACGACACTGAAAACGACAATTGACCAAGCGGCTAATCCGTCGCTTGAGAAACCCGCGGCAAAAATTGACACGAAGCAACAACGTGCGAAACTTGAAGCGAAAATGAGCTCGGAGATCATTGCGGAAATTTCCGACAATCTCATGGACTCTTCCTCGTGGACGCTCCTGAAACCCGCACGCAATACCGGCTTTGATCCTGATTCTATTGTCATCGAGGGCGGTTTCAAACCAATTATCAGAAACGTCGTAGACAACGCGCCCGATGTCGCGCAGAAGAGGACGGATCCGTGGCGCGAGGACGACAAAAAAATGTATGGGAAGCGTTCGGATTATCGGACGATTGATGAGTTCTCGCCCATCTTTATGCCATCGCTGCCCGTCGTGACGACATCCACGATCGACGGCGGCAGGAAGCGAAAGAAGAAGACATCTCCTGCGCGCTTTTCGCCGCGACTCGACGACCTCGACGACATGGAGATGGCGGCTGATCTTAGATTGGATACTTATTATCTACCGCCGATTGCGAGAACGCGACCTGAGCAACTACCATCTTCCTCCTCTTCCGGCGTGCTAATCACTTATGACGGTAAAAAACTCAAGGATTCCACCGGCCTGGCCAGATCCATTTCCAACATCGAACATCGCGATAGCAAGGGAAGACTGACGTCGGAACTGCTCAGCAGAACGCCGCAGTTCGGTAAGTTTCAAGGCGAGCTTCCTCCGCTGATTCCCGGCGAGATGCGCACAAACGGCTCGTACGAGAGGCGATATCGTTTATCGGATGTCGATCTATCCCTCCGCTCCGAATTCCTGCCCAAGACGAGATTAACACTGGTGGAGAGATCGAAGAGATCCCCGCCAGAGGGACATCGGACAATGTCCAGCGTCAATTTTCAACGAGACAACTCGTATAGCAACAATCACGGTCGCCGGGAACGCGAACAGGTCGAAACAGTCAGCGGAGGAGCAACTCGCGTTGGCAATCTCGGATTTATCGTACTGATCACGATCGGTGCATATTGCGCGATCTGAAATCATCGGCGATGTCTTTTTGTCCCTTGATGAAGAGACATCAGTAGTATCCTTGCGAGATCGGAAG